GCTTTGAGGAAGGTCTCTAGCTTTTCGGCACACTTAAACCTTGCATGTAGCCAAGTCATTGTTCAACAGCCTGCCATGCCCTGCCAATCTTGGGACTGGTTTTGGACTTGAATTAGTGGCCTGCCATGCTGTTTGGTGATTATCGGGACTGTGCCTTCTCACTTGTCAACCTTGGGTCTGTCAGCCTCAGCAGCCAGCTGCTGCCTGAGTGAAGAAAACCCTCTAGCTTCAGTGGGCTGGGAGCAAGAGTCAGAGCTGAAGCCCAAGGTCGAGGGGCTTTCACCTAGCCCCTAGAGGCTGGCACTTTGAACTCGGACTTCTAGCCTCTGAAAATTGTAAGAACAAACTTCTGTTTGTTAAAGCCATCCCGTATGTGGTATTTTCTGTTACAGCAGCACAGAGGTAATCAAAACAGCACTGCACCCCCAGAGCTCCTTCTTATAGAGTCAAGAGCCTGGCTAATTACAGGGTGTGTCCTTGCAACACTGTCACCGAGGCTGACAGATGGGCTGGGACACCAAGCATCAGAGAAGATTCTCCCTGGGCACCAAGAGACCTCCACAGTGCATTTTGCAATTTATGAAGAATGTTTCCACAGTTCCAAAAGAATGATAATGAGTACTCATGTAGCTTAAGCAGCAGAACATTCCCAATGCCATTGGAACTGCTGGGATGCCCCTCCCAGTTACATACTATGCAGGTGAACTTGACTTTTGTCTTTCTTATTCCCTTGACTTCCTTTAGTTTTCTTATATGTGCATGTATCCCTAAAGAATATATTCTGCCCTGCACATTTTTGAGTTCACACACTATGTATTCTTTGGAAATCTGTTTTTTGTGCTCAACCTTCTGTGCAAATCACCCACGGGACACATATAACTAGCTTGTTCGCTTTGTTCTCCTGTGCAGTATTCTGCACATGAAGACACCACAATGTCTCTCTTCTCCTGGGTCCTGTTGCTCTGCACATGCCCAGGGCAGAAGTCTCAGTAAGGAGGGCACCTTAGAATCATCTGGGGCACAAGCTTCTTAAAAGTGACAGCAACCAGCCCTTCCTCCAGAGATGATGATTCATTGATTCAGGGTAGGGTCAGGCATCAGTATTTTTCAGATCTTTTTAAAACTTTTTTTTATTGTGATTTGGCTGAAAGTTTACAGAGCAAATTAATTTTCTGTACAGTAGTTCATACACATTTTGTTTCATGGCATTGCAATTTCCCACAATGGAACGAACAGCTGTCTTCCCACTTCTTCCCTGTAGTTACCTTTTCCCTGTGTCCTTTCCTATGCATTCCTGCCCCCTGAACTATCTCTCTGTGCAAATACTGCCCTGCTGGTCTCTCTAGATCTCAGATGATTGCCCAAATGCAATCTGTGTTGAAAACTACAGCGCTAGAGTATATACCCAGGAAGGGACTGGCCAGGAATGTGCAGCTTCAGCTGTACTTGATATAAAACGGTTTTGCAACATGGCCAGGCTGTGCCAGCACGACCAGGCTCTAACCCATCAGCAGTGTATAGATTCCATTGCTCCATGGCCCACAAACACAGCGTTGCCACGCTTCTTTTTTGCCAATTGATTTTTCCTTCTGATTTTAATTTATATTTGATTAGTAATCATTCATATTAAAAA